ATTTCAAAAAATGACAACTATTTATTAATTTTAAAGTTAACTAACCTATGAATGACTTTGTTGTGTCTGCTCTTTGTTGCAAAGCATTTGAATATGTGGTTGCAGCAGGGAGGTCGGCAGCTTCAGTTGATCCTCTAGATGGGTATCAGTCATTTGTGACCTCGAGGGCGTTCTGACTTGGTTAGGTAGAATGTAGATTCACAGCAATAAGTGGTTGAAAAGCAAGAAAGTATTTTTCGGGCATGTTGCCAAAGGCATGGGTATTCTAATGCATTTTTCCATATTTCAATTGGATCTTTCTTAGCATCAGTGACTTTAAAATGTCATCTACTGAGAGGTCCATCAATTCCATCTGTAGTTCTTTAGGTGCCTTGGTGATATCAACTGGGTGAGGCTGAAGTGCCAACAGGTCTATAACAGCTGAGTATTCTTCAAATGATTCCCACTTATCATCCTGCTCATCAATGACCTTTGCTAACTGGAGAAAATGTTCATCCAAAATATCCTTTTGAAGAAATGTTTTGAAAAAAGGTAACTTTTTTCAAAATGCTTGGATTTTTTGCCACACATCCTATATAGACTTAGTTTTACCTTGCAAAAAAATATTCAAACTAAACTTAAACTTTTAAACTAGATTCTGGTAAAAAAACACCTGTGTTTTTCTATAGTAATTGTTAGTAACACTTCTAAGGCACAAGTGTACGATAAGCACTACACTAACGCTTTTGAGTTCCGCCTCCCAATACACCTTTGTCGCAGCACGCTGGGACCTTAATAGTTGCCTCATCCTAGTTCCCTTGAAACCAGACATACTCACCACTCAACGATTTAGCACACTTACAGAAAGAGAAAGCCAGTCAGAGTCCTGAGGGTTCATACACTCTGCGAAATTTCTGACCCCCTTCTTTCCTTTGGGTGGAGAGCACACTGAGAAACTCCTACGCAGGAACTCTTGTTCGTTAGCTAAATCTCTCCCACACCCACGGTGGAGGATGCTGAGGCTACATAAAGCTTGTTTAAGTATCAACATTTGTGTAATATACTATCTAAATTCCCCAACTAATGTGATGCTAACAGTTTTCAAAGAAATGAAAATATAGATGTATGAAAGCCAAATACTTATCCTTCCTTCCAGTATTTAAACGACTAATTAAATTAGCAAAGCAGCATTAGCATAACTTGACAGTATTTGGTAAGCGGCCCATATTAAATATAAAAAATAATTTGTTAACCAAGCTGAAGGGAAAACAACTGAGAATAAAAATAGACATTTCACATTTATCTTTCAGAAGTAGTTCTGAAAATTTCTTCCATTTTTTATCATTTACTTTTTCCCTAACATTCATGCATTCAGCAATAATTCAAGAGCCGGTGTGCTGTGGCACTGCGGGGACAGCAAGCAAAGAATCACCATTCTGAGTCACGCTCTGCTGTGGACGTTTCTGGTTCTGACAGTAGCTCTTGGGACTATTTATTTAAAAAAAAAAAAAA